ACGAATCTTCATGTCTTCTGCCTGCGGCTCTCAAACACACGAAAACGGTAGATCCTTGAGGGGGGGGGGGGTAGCATATATATATATATATATATGTACATATACACACACACAGTACGTGCTGTGTCGATTTAAGAATTTAAAGAATTTTGAAAATTTTGCCGGTTAGAGTTCTTTTAATCTTGTAAACTTTTAGCTCGGCTGATTTCCCTCACCCTTCAGCTACAGCACACGGATTCAAGTTTTACAATTCTTTAAGTCCTTCTAATATTAAATCGCCCGGAATTATTCTTTAGAATTTTAAGAAGGAATATAGGGAAAATTCTTTAAGTGTATAAATCGACCGGAATTATTTTTCAGAAAAACCTTAAACGTGTGAATCGAGAAGTTTTTTCGATTTGATAGATCAGAAATCGTCAGGAAGTTAGTTTTCAAGGAATTTAAAGAAATTTCAATATTCAAATCGTTCCGGCTGGCCCTCCCAGCCCAGCCCACAAATTTCGTTAAACATTTTAAACTTTTAAATATTGAAAAGTGCTTAAACTTTTAAACCTTCCGGAATTATGCTTTTAGATAATTTGGAAATTCAGATTGGGCAAATTCGTTGAACTTCTAAATTGTCGGGAACTAATGTGTTAAACTTGTTAAACTTTTTAAAAGCAGAAATAGTGAAAAGTCTTTAGCTTTGTAAAAAAGTTAGATCGTCCGGAAATAGTTTTTAAAGAATGTTAAAGAATGTTAAAAATTTGATTTTTTCCGGCGGAGCCCCCCGGCTCCACCTCCAGTCCTAGCCCTCAGCCTTCCAGCCTCAGCCCCCCAACCCCCCCAAGCCTCAGCCCCCGACCACCAGCTTCGCCCTCTTCCCCCCAGGCCCCCCAACACCCTCAACACCCAGCCCGGCATCCAGCCCCCAGCCCTTGAATCCCCAGCCCCCAGCCTCCAGCCCCCACAATCTCAGCTCTCCACATTAACAATCGATTTAACAAGTTAAATAAATAAAGAATTTTGCTGTGTTTAGATATTTTAGATTCTTTACATATTGAATTTGCGACAATTTACAAACTTATCAAATTTTACAGCATCGTAAACTTTCAAATACTTGTGACTGACCATTTGCCCCCTCGCGCCCAGCCCTTCAACTACAGCCCCCAGCCCCCAACCCTTAAATAGCGGGCCCTTAAAAAGGACCCTTAAAAGGGACCCTCGTAAAGGGCCCCTTTAAAAGGGATTCTTTAAGGCCCAACTCTTTCTTCCCAGGCTGGTGGGGATGACGGGCACGGGCAGCTCCGGTGGCCCTAAAGAGATAGAGGCCATGGCTCCTCGGCTTCGTTTTTTTCTGGAAAGGTTTAGGGTTTAGGGTATCGGGTTTACTTAGGGTTTAAAGTTCAGGGTTTAGGGTACAGGGTTTAGGGTTTTGGGGTGTAGGTGTCTTCATTTTTCGAAGTTTATTGCGGGTTTGTTCTTGTTCGGTTTCTGTAGGTTCTGTGTTTGTACAAATGGCCAGACAAGGGTTTTTGAGCCCATTTCCGAGGTATTATGACGGGTTTGTATAAGGCTTCCTTGGGTTTTTATGCGTTGTTTGTTGTTTTCGTTTTCGTTGGTGTTGATAGGGTTCTTGGAAGTTTGGAGCTCACCAGGCGGTAGGATTTATGGCTTGGGGGAGTTGGGTGGGGTTTAAGTTTGAGATCCAGGGCTTCAGGTATTACGGTTTAAGCTGCCGATCTTTTTCTGGCATGCCCCGGCTGGAGGTACAGGTCAATAGGTTTTTTGGGGTTTAGGGTTTCGGTTGTGGCAGGTTTAGGGTTCAGGGGCTTCGGAGATGTTCCAACCGCTGAGGGAGAAACTTGAAACGGTTTGGGGTTTAGGGTAAAAGAACTGCAACTGTTTGAGACGGGCAAGGCTTCCATACGTGGAGCAGTTGGATGGAAACGCGGTTGATGTTTGACAGCGTTGCGGGCCTATCTATAGGCATGGATTGGGCATTGGCATTGGCAGTTAAGCCCTCAAACCTCACACCCTCTCAAACCCAAACCTCTAAGCTATCGAACGCTACAGCCTTTAAGCCCTCCAACCTTAGACACTAAACCTGCAAACCTTAAGTTCTAAACCTGTAGCCCCTAAACTCGAGGACTTTAAGCCCAAGCTCAGGTGTCGGCAATCCATGGAACCTGCTGCAGCGATAGCTCAGAGGTGTGGCTCTCGGCTGCTGAAATTGGTCGTAATTTGGGGTTTGAGATGGTTTCAGCATTGATCAACAACTTCCGTACATGAAGTCTCTTTAGACATGTGGCACAATAGCGATCCCCAAATTTTTAAATGCAACTTAGCCTCAGGTCTTTTGGGAAGCTAGGAAGGGCTCAGGGTTTTCCGGCTTCATGCCCGGCTGCTGAGGTCTTCACGATCCGTACGCCGATCAACGAGAGCAGTGGGAGCATCGGCTCTGCATAGCATCCCTAAACCCTAAACCCTAAACCCTAAACCATGGTGGGGAGGGTCTTAAGTCCGTAAACCCCCGAATTCCCAAAGTTGGACGGCCCCTTCTCCCAGAACCCTAATCCTCAAACACTACAAAATGCAGACCCCAAATTCCAAACCCCTAATGCCCAAACTCTGCAGAACCCTCATCCCGCAGCCGAAAAACTCTAACGTCCAAAGTTCCAAAGCCCTAACCCAAGAATTCTAATCTAAAGGGATCCCGTAAAACACAATAATACCCTGTATTTACAGGGCCTTAGCCAAAACCCTAACTAACCTTTCAAAAGGGACCCTGAACCCTACACCCTTAGCAGGGACCCTCTACTTAACCCTAGATATAACCCCCCCCCCACAATACCGTTCGAAGGCGTCCTAAGAACATCCCTAAGCCCTACTTGGAGGTTCATGGGTAGTTATAAGCGGGGTTATAAGTAGGGTAACTATAGTTATGACCCATATTAGGGGACTTATAACCCTACTTATAGCTACCCATGAACCTCCAAGTAGACCCTAAACCT